GGGGGGGGGGGGGGGGGGGGGGGGGGGGGGGCGAAAGCGAGATCAGGATCGGGGAAGAGAGGGAAAAGGAGGTCGGGCGGAATTGGGGCAGGGAAGATCCGATCGGGATTGGAGTGCAGTTGGGGAGAGAACGGTTGGGGGGAAGTCGCACAGGGAAGCGGAGCGGCGAGGGGAATCATGTGGGGGGAAGGGGTGGAGGAAATCGCACGGCGAGGGGAGTGAGGGAGATCGCATGGGGAGAGAAGCGAGGTGGTGGGGGAGGAATCGGGATCGGAGAGGTGGGGGGGTTTCGGTAGGAAATTGAAGTCGGGTTGGAAGCGGGATCGGGAAGGGGGGGAAATGGGGAATTGATAGTGCAGCTGCGGAGGGGGATGGATCGCGCACACGTGCCCGCGGGAGGAATCCGGGTCGGATGGGAAGGGGGGGCGGGGATGTCGGGAATTGAAGGGGGAAAGTTGGGATCGAAGGGGGGGGGAGTGGGGAAGCGCAGGGGGGGGAAATCGAGGAGAGGTTGGGGAAAGTCGGGGAAGAAGCAGTGTCGGTGCGAATACCCTTACAAGGGTATCCGCCCTGGTTTTTGCAAATGATAGAAAATAAATGGTTCAAGGTTTGAGTATACCGTGCAGGGCGCAGTTGTGTCTGTGGTTTACGTTGACTGGATGGTTGGCTAGATTAGAGACTGTGTGGGCGCTCGGACTTAAGGCGCGCGTGATCTTTGTTGAAGAAGCGGTGTCGGTGTGAATACCCTTACAAGGGTATCCGCCCTGGTTTTTGCAAATGACAGAAAACAAATGGTTTAAGGTTTGAGTATATCGTGCAAGGCGCAGTTGTATCCGTGGTTTACGTTGACTGGATGGTTGGCTAGATTAGAGAGTGTGTGGGCGCCTGGACTTAAGGCGCGCGTGATCTTTGTTGATGATTGTGAGGGTGGCATAGTTGCTGGCCACGTTTTTATTTTCAGATTAAACTAGCATTAAAAAAATTACGTCGCTTGGTTGGTGCGTTTGTCTGTGACTTGTGCTTACGTGCGGAGGACGACGTCGACAACAATGTGGTTTTAAAAATGTTTCAGTAGATCTACGCATCGCGCAGTATCCGCTTATTTAGGTGTCCGTCAAAACTAGACCCCGACTTGGGCCTAGCATTATTGGTTACAGCGTCGGACTTTCATCAAAGAGATTCAAGTATCGAGGTCGAGAGGCGACGATGTGGGGATATCAAAGTAGCGCGAAGCGACCGAGGGGTTGAGGATCCGATGGGGCTATCCCCCTTAGTTTTGTCGGCGGCAGCGTCAGAACGGTGCTAGCGTTTTCTTTTTTTCCTCATTCGTCATATTCTGACGATTAAAAGTTTCTAAATAGTTGGCACAGGCGGCAAGGGCACTGTCGAGAAGCCCGCAGCGATACAGGTTGTAGGGGCAGGCTGCATGGAAACCCATCTACGATCAGATCTTGAAGATCTGAGTTGAATATTTGCAGCTACCACAAAGATGTGCATCAGGTCGCGCTTCACTTAGACACAAGGGGCAGACGTCGAGGTAGTCTTAGTGCCCTCCCACTAGCTGCGACAGGGAACTGCCGACGACCGAGTATATCCCGAGCGCCGCAGCACTGGCTTTTCGGGGCAGAGAGTCGACAGGTGAATGTTGCATACTCCTTAGTGAGAGTCAACATTCGTGAATACCGGCCTGCTGACAGTGATAATCGAGGCCCGAACAGCCTGGGCTAGCGCACATCCAATGACCTGGCAGGATGCATAGGAGGTGGGGAGCAGTGAGAGGGGGAAGCTAAGTGCGAGAGCAGTAGAGAGAAAGTAGAGAGTGGATGAACCTAGACGTGAAGGCAGTCGTGGTGCGTATGAAACGGTGATGGCGGAAGGAGGAGCCTTGCATGGTCAAGAAGACATAGCGCTCTTGATCCTGAGTGGAATCGAGAGAGGAAAGATGCAGTTCCGAGGTTTTTACCCCCAATGAATCGAATGGTGATGTTGGATTTGGAAGAAGGTTAGTGCATAAGAATGTTAGTAAGGAAGTCAGTGCGTTGAGATGTCGGTAGGGGAAGATATGGTGGGAATAAAAGTCGAGATTTCGCTCAATTCTTAATGAAATCGAGCGAAGGAAGGGGCTAATCCAATGTTTTTGCCTAGGGCGAATCCGTTAGTGCAGACAGAATAGCGAGGAAGTTAGTGAGATAAGAGTTAGATAGAAAAGGTGTTGCGCCGGAAATGGCAAAGGAGAGTTAAGGAGGAGGAGAAGAAGTTTGTCGGAACGGTCGTTCCTTGACTGATTTCGACGAATAGAAGCTTTACTCTAAGGTTTTGGAACTAGACAAACTTGATGGTAGGGCCAGATTTGAGATTGAGAGGTTAGTTGTTGTTACAATGTACTGAAATGATTAGAGGTTGCGCTGTGCATAGTAGAAAATGGCAACGAGAAATGAAGTTTCGAATTTGGGATATATGTGTCCGCGTTTTAGCAGAAGATTCATTCCAATTTTTCTCATCCCATCGAGCAAAGTGGCGTGGGGCTAGCTGCGAGGTTAGATACTTACCTGTTTGGCCGATGCATTGCTCACCCTATCGGTCGAAGTCTGTGGAAAGCAGGAGGTACAGACGGCCTGAGACGGGGAGGGAAGGAGTTTGAAGCACCGTGTGTCCGGCCGTTTTCCTACGGGGGATTCATTCCTGTTGTGTACTTGGCCAAGCGCAGACAATGCTTCGTAAAGAGAGTGACAGAAGAGGACAAAGACTTAGGGGTTGGGGCATTTAGTGCCGCGAAACTGCTGCGTATTTTTTCTGTGATTTATTGAGAGAGTCATCCCGACTTGTCTCATCTTTCCGTTGGAGAAATTCTCGGTTTTCTGCTCGCACGTGTGGTGGCAATTACGCCTGACAGCTCTACCGTATACTTGATCGAGATACTAGAGCATGTACACTACGCGGACACAGGGAGAGCAAGGGGGCACGAGATGAAAAGTAGGGAACGTGACTGTAAGCGAAGAATTCTGTCGGTTCTCTGCAAAGAGGCGGAGAAAGAGATAATAGCCCATGGACCGACAGACCCTGCTGCACAGCGAGGCGTCGTCAAAGGAATAGAGGCAGTTTCTTCCGTCATTTCAAGCTCCTTTTCCTCGAGCCGGACCCAACCACGGTAAGCGGCCAGACACAAATGGGCCAAATAGTGCAATCAAGCTGGTTGGTTAGTAGATAGAGCAGGAATAAAAAAGGGAGAGTGGGGAGACTTACCTAGTAGCGAGCCTCCCCGTCGTCAAGTTGAAGGGTCGCCCCTGTTGTGTATAATAGGCAAGCCGTGAGAACACAAGCCTACCTATTGGCTGATGCGCTGCCCATCCTACCGGACGAGTTAGCGTGAGTCCGGCCGTAAGCCGAGGGCTTGATGAGGCTTGGTGAGGGCTACATAGCTGATATCTACGTGCAATCTACCTGCTGCATGGACAACTACACCACTCT